TTGCTCGACTCGTCCCCACGGGGCTTTCTCAGTGGCTGGAGAGAGGGATGGAGAGGAGTGGGAGATACAGATAGGAAGGGAAGGTTTAAAATAGGGAGCGTAGAGAAAAATACAAAACCAGACCCCCCCCAGTAAGACAATTAGCACAACCATCAAGCACACACACCACACTGAATCACATTCGTGCGGACCAGTCCTTCTTTCACTCAGACGCATGCTGCACTCACCACTCTCACTTTCAGGATCCCCGAGACTTCTCGTGATTCTCCCAAATGGCGTCCACTCGGACTGCCTCAGAGTGATCAGCTCGATTTTTAACTCCTCGGGCACCAGATTTGATGGCAGGCTTCCTTCCTAGGGCCGAGACACTCGGACCCTAGGACCAGGGCTGGTTACCTGGACTTTTACCTAGGTGCCGGGACTCGAACCCAGACTTCCTCACTTGGGATTACTAACCTGAGACCAGACACGAGATGGCGACTCTCGCTTTATTCTGGATTTTACAGACATGAGGGAGCAACCCTCGAATTACACTGCCCTGTCCGGAGAAAAGAAACTCTGCCTCCATTCATCCTTTGTTCCCCCAGAAGCCCCCCCAAATCTGGGACGAGCCCCCAAAATGTTAGGGTCTGTGACTCGGTGGGTCTCTTCAGGAGAACAAATACACAGGTCTGGTTAGAGCAATCGACCCTGAGGCAATTTTAGGTAAAGATTATATAGGCTCCCACAACCATTACACAAAAGCTCGCGTTTATACAGCCAATAGCTTCAAAGCAAGCATTTCACAAACCAATAACTTTAAAACAAGAAAAATGTTACAACTCCCTTCAGGTGTCTCAATCGGGAAGAGATGGTTGGTATATGCCTGACACGGCTCTTTCCTGTTATCTTATGTAAGCATACATGTCTACATGACATGACACAGAACAGGTCAGGCTCCAGGGGGGCTGTAGCACTTGCCCCTATCTCCGGATGCCTGTGTCTCCAGTTGAGTTAATTGGTTACAAGCAGTAAATTCAACCAAACAGTAAATTCCTCTTTCCCTAACAAGAGAAAGAGAGAGAGACAGAGACAGAGAGACACAGAGAGAGAGAGACACGGAGAGAGACACAGAGAGGGAGATACTGACTCCCTGTAGCCTGGAACACAATATGTAGACCAGGCTGCCTTTGATCTCACAGAGATCCACCTACCTGTCTCCTCAGTGCTGGGATTAAAAGCATGACAGTAAATTCCTCTTTCCCTAACAAGAGAAAGAGAGAGAGACAGAGACAGAGAGACACAGAGAGAGAGAGACACGGAGAGAGACACAGAGAGGGAGATACTGACTCCCTGTAGCCTGGAACACAATATGTAGACCAGGCTGCCTTTGATCTCACAGAGATCCACCTACCTGTCTCCTCAGTGCTGGGATTAAAAGCATGTGTCAACATGCCTGGCTCAGAAAATGATTTTTAAAATTTATTATTTTTATTTCATATGTATGCGTATGTTGCCTACATGTAGGTAAGTGCACCTGTGTCGTTCAATGGCTGAGGACAGAAGAGGCTGTTGGATCCCTTGGAACCGGAGTTACGGACAGTTGTTAGCTGCCACGTGGGTGCTGGGATTCAAACCCAGGTCTTCTGCAAGAACAGTCAGTGTTCTTAACTGCTGAGCCATCTCTCCAGCCCTAAATGATTCTTAAAACAAAAACAAAACCTCAAAACTTTACTGGCCTTTCAAATGAAGCACTTTGCTGGGCTACATAATGAGACTTCTCACAAAGATTCACTAGTGTCTGTCTCTCCAGTGCTGGGATTAAAAGGTGTGAGCCACCATGTCCAGCCTTACCTTTACCTCTTAAAAAATTTTTTTAAGCTTATTTATATTTATTTCATGTGTATGAGCCGTTTTGCCTGCATGTGTCAAGTGCATCCTTGTAAGTGCACCCTTGTGTGCAATGCCCGTGGAGGCTACCCGAGGACCTCGGTTCCCGTGGAACTGGAATTCCACAGGGTTGGTAGCCGCCATTGAGTACTGGGAACCGAATCCCAGTCCTCTGCAAGAGCAGCCATCTCTCCCTCCAGTCCTCACCTTTACCTCTCAACAAAACTTTATTCAGGACTGGATGCATTAGCTACGATGTAGGAAAAACTACATTTACCATGATGCACCAGACAGGAAGGAAATGAGCGTAGACACCACCCGTCATTGCTTATAGACCGGAAACTAGAAGCTTAGCTCTCTTTCCCATCTTGCAAGGTAGGAATGGCGGGTCTTTCTGCTATACTCGGCTTCAGGACCCCAATCCTTCTCCATCCGAAGCCGGAGAACATTGGGTCGCCAGCCCTCGGCGCCGGCCGTGCCCGGGGTCACCCGACAGGCTTCCCGGGCGCTTTATTTCCTTTCCCGTGGGTTGGCGGGGAGCGAAGGGCGCGGGGAGCGGCGCCGGGGCTCGGGTGGTCGCGTTCTCAGAGGCGGGCGGTCGGGCCCTGCGGGCCGTCCCAGCAGGCTTTGAGGCTTCGGGACCGGAGCACTGTGCGTCCGACGCCGAAATGGCGGCTCCAGAACTCCGCCGAGCTCGCTCAGCCACGTTGAGCGTCCCTGCTGAAGCCAAAAGCAGCTTCTCTGTCTTCCCACCGCCCCACCGGAAGTCGGCTGGAAGTCGCGGTGCTGGGGAAAATGTTGGCAGTAGTACCCTAAGCCGATTTTACTTAGACGTTGAGAGCACATGCATGGGTTTGGATTTATGGCAGGCCCGTCACCCTGGGCCTCTCATAGTGTCCCATGCTAGAGCAACCTGCGGCTCCGAACCATTGCCTGGCCTCTGTGCCTGTAGGCTACCGGCACTGAAGTGGGTCGCACAATCAAAGGTTTAGGTTTAGAGCAGAGGCGGTGAAAATATGATTTCAGACCCCAACTTCCTTGCTGAGGAAACCACTAAAAAGGCTCTTCAATGTTCTGATTCACAAAATGGGAATAATAAAGTAATGATGTAGAGACTTTGAACCACTACGTTATCAGCAAAAACCTAATGCTGCAAAACGTTTACAAATTCATACTGAGGAGACAACTAAAAAGTTAGAAGTGTGGAATTTGGGAGAAACGCATGTGTCAGGCAGAAGGCTTGTGGGTGCCCAGCCCATTTATATGTATTTACGGTATTGGCTTGTCATTGATGGTTGGTGAAATTCCCTTATTTAACATCCATAGATGGCGGGTGAAAAGGCTGAGAAGCCTAATGCAAAGGAGAAGAAGCCTGCAGCCAAGAAGGCTGGTGATGGTGGCACTGCAGGTGGTGCAGGCAAGACTAAAAAGGGAGGCCCTATAGTCAAAAAGCTGAAGAAGGGGAAGCCTCACTGTAGCCGAAACCCTGTCCTGGTTAGAGGAATTGGCAGATACTCCCGGTCTGCTATGTATTCCAGAAAGGCTCTGTACAAAAGGAAGTACTCAGCTGCTAAATCCAAGGTAAGAAAGAAGGGGACTCACCAGTTCCGATGTCTAATCCTTGGTTGTGTGCCTCTGACCTCTTGGTGGGTTTATCTTTGTAGGTTGAAAAGAAAAAAAGAGAGAAGGTTCTTGCTACAGTCACAAAACCAGTTGGTGGGGACAAGAATGGTGGCAACCGTGTTGTTAAGCTTCGGAAAATGGTAAGATCTGGAGGAGGCCAGACTGGATTTTATAAACTTGAATGGTGTGGAGATGGTTTTCTTAGTGCTTGTGTAGGTTTCTGCCAGAAAATTGCTGGATGGGAAATCTCTGGGTACATTTCCTGCTTAACCCTTAAGTAAGTTGGGTTGCTTTGATGAGCTTTGCCTCTATGAGGTGGGCTTGAAAGTGAAGCTTGAAGCTGTATTAATAGAGTGGTTGGAAATGAGTTATTAGGCTGGGGGTGCAGCCCAGAGAGTGAGTGAATGAGTGAGTGTGTATGTGTTTACTTAGCATGTGTGAACCCTTCTGGGTTTTTCATCTCTAGCACTGCAAGAAGTGGAACCCAGTGAGTGTCTGCATATTGTTTACTCTTGTGCAATTTTCTTTGTGGATAAATGAAAGTAAATTGTACTGCTGTTACTGAAGGTCTAATGAGATAGTGTAGGGGTGGTATGCTTGTTTTTTTTTTTTGTGTTTGAGAAAGAGCCTCACATAGCCTGGGGGTGGCTTTGAACAGCCATTCTGCACTTGGCTGAAAAAACAAGTATTAGAGTTAGTTCCTTTTCTGGAGTAAAGCTTGTGTGGGAGCTGCTTCCTATGTTGTCTCTGGAGTTAACTTGTCTAGAGTTGCAAAGGAGCTTGTGTTCTCTGCTTGACACTCCTTGGTTTCCATTAAGTTTCCAATCAGTAAAGGCTGTGGCAAATGTCACTGAACTCAGCCCTACTGATCTGACCATGGACTGTCTCCAGCCTAGGTATTATCCTACTGAAGACGTGCCTCGAAAGCTGTTGAGCCATGGCAAAAAGCCCTTCAGTCAGCATGTGAGAAAGCTGCGCGCCAGCATCACCCCTGGGACTGTCCTGATCATCCTAACTGGGCGCCACAGGGGCAAGGTGAGCAGTGCACCCGCTATGCAGCCTTGCACAGAGGCCCCTCCTTTTATAAGCTTTCTTACAGTGGGTGTAGGATTACTTCGTCTCATGTGGTATGTGAGGAGTTGGTCCATGATAGAAAACAGCCCAGTCACCCACCTCATTTCAGGGAGGAGGGCGTTAATTCAGGAGTCTGATTTAATTGCAGTAAATTTTCTGTTTAACTTTCAGAGAGTGGTTTTCCTAAAGCAGCTGGCCAGTGGCTTGCTACTTGTGACTGGTAAGAAAAACCTCTGCCTTTTTGGTTTTGAGCAGGGCCTCATGTAGCATAAGTGTCAAAATTATAAGTACTCACCACGATACCTGGTGTAAATACTTGAGTTTTTATATTTTCTGAAACTTGAGGGATATATTGTGTTTTTGAAACAGTCTCACCATACATGTCCAGGCTACATGTGGCAGTCCCTCTGCTTCAAGCTTCCCTGGCCCAAGTATAGGAGGTACCCAGGGTGGCCAGAGGTATGACTCTCCTGGGGTCTGGAGTTATGGTTATGGGAGATTGTGAGCTGCCCAACATGGTTGCTAGGAATTGAACCCAGATCCTCTGGAAGAGCAATAAGTTCTTAACTACTGAGCCATCTTACCAGCCCCTAGTATGTGTTGAGGGTAAGGTACGCACACCAGAAATGCTCAGGAAAAGCCATTTGCTGCCAAGGCTTAAAACGTATATACACATGTCTGTATATACCTATATACCACCTGTCTAGAAGTTTCAGGGTTTTGTTTTGTCCCCAAGAAAGTCAACCTTTATAAACTTGCATAAAGTTGAGCTGTCATCTGGCCATCATTTATCTCACAGAGTTTGATTTTTTTTTTCCCCTCAGGACCTCTTTCCCTTAACCGAGTTCCTCTGCGTAGAACACACCAGAAATTTGTCATCGCCACCTCCACAAAAGTCGATATCAGCAACGTGAAAATCCCCCAGCACCTGAATGATGCTTACTTCAAGAAGAAGCAGCTACGGAAGCCCAGGCACCAGGAAGGCGAGATCTTCGACACAGAGAAAGAGGTGAGGCGATCCCTCCTGTTGTCCTTAGTATCACCTGAAGTTTTAGAGTCAGTAGTCCCTTGGGGAAGGGGCTAAAACTCAGGAGGATGCTCTGGGAATTGGCGCCATTATTTGGAAATTAACCTTAACTGTCCATGGTGTGTGTTAAGGTAGACAGGGACTATTTGATTGTTGAAGAGCATGTGGGACTGCTGAGGCTGTGTTAGAGTCAACTTCATACTCTAAATACAGACATGTGAATTAGAGTTGTTTCTTTCCTAGGGTGAGTAGCTTGGTACTACTGCCTGTTACTAAACGTTTCATTTTTCTCTTTATTTAGAAATACGAGATTACAGAGCAGCGCAAGGTTGATCAGAAAGCTGTGGACTCACAAATTTTGCCAAAGATCAAAGCTGTTCCTCAGCTCAAGGGCTACCTGAGATCTCTCTTTGCTCTGACAAATGGCATGTATCCTCACAAATTGGTGTTCTAAATTTCTTACCAAGAACCTAATTAAATAACTGATACGTTTGTGTCCCTTTTGTGATTGTAGTGTATAAGTAATTGCGTTGCGAGTATGTGTGCAGAGGCCAGTAGACAATTTTGTATGTGCATGTGTGCATGCATGCGTGTGCACGCGTAAGTACACTCGTGTACAATGCCTGAGGTCAGAAGGTTTCTGATCTCCTGGAACTGGTGTTAGCTACATTGTGGGTGCTGGAAATCAAACCCAGGTACTTTGGAAGAGTGGCTAGTGCTCTTAACCGCTCAGCCATCTCTCCAGCCCCTGACAATTGATAATGTCCTCTGTCCCTTTATTTTTTGAGAAGGGATCTCTGAATTTAAAGCTCAATTTCAAATAGGCTGGTGGGCCAGTGAGCTCCTGTCTTTGTCGCTGGTTACAGGCACATCAGCTTTACTGTAGGTGTGGTTTTTGCTTCTACTGTAGAGTGGTTGCAGGGAAGTGGCATCTGATGTAGGTCTTTTCACAACTTTAGTCTGGGTATATACAACTGGGTCATTCACTGTCTCTTTCCCCACCCTTAGCCAGAAGATGTGTGTACTGTGTATGCTGTTAAATACTTATGCTCATTGGTGATTCATGGTAGTGAATACCTGTAATCCCTGCACTTAAGAGGTAGAGGATCAGTTCAGGGTCATCTTCAGCTGATGGTGAGATGTAGGTCAGCCTGGGCTACGTGAGACCCAGGTCTTCTGCAAGAACCACCAGTGTTCTTAATCGCTGAGATCTCTCCAGCCCCAGGTTTACACATTTTAAATGGTAGGGAGTCCTAGATTACTCTAGAGGAGGGTGTGCCAGTTTACTGAAGATGGAATTCACTGTAAGGGAGACTTGGGTCACCTCATGGTTCTGCACTTGGCTCCTCGGGCTTCTGATGAAATTTCAGTTCCTGTCTTTTGTTATTTCTCACAGAACTGCTGTTTTGAGTTTTTAAGTATGATACCTGGGACTCATGGCTCAATAGTTTTTTTGTTACCTAGTATGTGTTAAATGTATCACTATTTTAAAACTCATCCAACTCACCCTTGAAAGACATTCATTTGAGTTTATTGGTGATCATGAATAAAGGCACAGTAAACATAGTTTGTATGGGACATATTTTTTGTTTCGGGGAGGATTTCAGTATTGGCTTGGTTTCTGAAAAAGTGCCATTAATTGTAGTTATCACCTCCTGCTCTGTGTATTGCTGGGGGTGAAACCAAGGGTCTCCCAAGAGCTAAGTAAACATGCTACTGTTGAGCCTAACCCTTTGTCCATTGGATGGACTTTTTTGAGACAGGGTCTCCCTGTAGTGGACCAGGCTGGCCCCTCCAGAACTCACATAGAGATCACCTGCCTCTGCCTCCCAGTGTTGGAATTAAAGGCCTGCCTCACCACGCCCTGCTGGGTGCACATTTTTGTTGGCATTTTTTTTAGGGTTAGCCTGGAACTCAGTACCAGATGATCTCATTCATACTTTGGATCTTCCTGGCTTCACCTGTCTGGATCACAAAGACCAGTTATGCCTGCATGCCAGGGGAGCACTACCAACTGAGTTGCATCCTCATCCTTATGCTTGTTTAGACTGCTGCTGCCTAGCCTCAGAAAGCCTAAGTCCTAGAGTAGCAGGCATGCCCCCAAGGCCTCCTGAGTGCTAAGATTATAGGTGTGTACCATCACAGCCCCAAGTGGATTTTTAAAATTACTGTGGAGATTAGGCTGCCCTTGAATTCAGATCTGCCTCCCAAGGCAGAGGTGGGTAGAGAGGGAATGAGAAGCAAAGAGAATGGGATCCACACAGGCACAAGAAGATGAGGGCTATGATACCTGTGGTGTCAGGGAAAAGTTGCCACATGTTTGAGGAAGGACGAGGCTAGGAACAAAGCAGTAACTTCTCGGTAAACATGTTCTATATACTGCATGAACACTGTCCATCAGAAACAAGTCAAAACAACAGGTGGAAGGCAGAGACTGGTAAAACACAGATCAGGGCCAGCCTGATCTACATAGCAAGTTTAGGCTGGCTGGGTAGACCCTGTCTCAGAAGACCAAAAATTTTCTTTAAAAGGGCATAAATGTATAATTTAAAAAATATATTTTGAGGGGGCTGGAGAGATGGCTTAGCCTTTAAGAGCACTGGTTGTTTTTGCAGAAGACCCAGATTCAAATCCCAGCACCCACATGGCAGCTAACAACTGTTCGTAACTCCAGTCCCAGGGGATCCTACAGCCTCTTCTGATCTCATTGCACGATACGGGTGCACTTGCCTATATGCAGGCAATACACATACACATTAAAAAAAAAAATTGGGGTGGGGGGGCAGGTGTGGTGACATATGCCTTTAGTCCTAGCACTTGGGAGGCAGAAGCAGCTCCATAGTGTTCCAGGGGAGAAGACTGTTAGTGTGATATTAACCTAGGGGTTTGTGGGGCTCCCTAGGAAACCAGAAATAGCTTGATAACCATGCTATATTTTGGGAAGGTCACTCTGGAATCTAGGTTAGGAAATGGGGGAACCAGAAATATACTAAGGTGGACAGCAGCATTATTTACCATAACTAAAAGCTTGACTGAACCTGTGTTTACCACTGGATGAAGAAAATGTGGCACATCTATACAATGGAGTGCTGTTCATCCTTGAACTGGGAATTGGTTCATTCACAAATACAGAGATGAATTTCAAGAACATGAAGCTAAGTGCTATAATTAGAGAATGACAAATAACTGCATGATCCCACTTAGATGTGGAATCCAATAAAGGTGAACTAGCAAAAAAAAATTATGGTCACCAGAAGCTGGGCAGAGGGGGAGGAAATGAAGGTTTGTTAATCATGGGCACAGAATTTCATTATAGAAGGAATAGGACATCTGCTCAGTTTGATAGTTGTATGTTTGAAATGGAGTCTTATTCTAACCCAGGCTGGGCTTGAACTCATGATCCTCTTTCCTCAGCCTTCCAAGTGCTGGGGTTACAGGCCTACACTATCATGCTCAGCTAAACTTGATTTATTTTTTGTCTTTTTGAGACAGGGTCTCCTTGTAGCTTCAGCTATCCTAGAACTCAATATATAGACCAGGCTGGCTTCGAACTCATAAAGCTCCACCTACCTCTGCCTTCCAAGTGCTAGGATTAAAGGTGTGCACCACCACTCCCAGCTGATTAATTTTATTTTTAAAAATTTTTCTTTTTAAATATTTTTAAATATTTGAAAAATATTTTTATTATTAAAGGCGTGGTGGCGCACGCGTTTAATCCCAGCACTTGGGAGGCAGCCGCAGGCGGGTCTCTGTGAGGTCAAAGGCCGCTTGGTCTACATAGTGAGTGCCAGGACAGCTGGGGCTACAGGGAGACCCTGTCTCAAAAAGACCAAAAAAACAAAAATTTTTTTATTTTCTGTGTAGGAGTTTATTGCCTGCATGTACCTAAGTGCACCTGTGCCCAACGATATCAGAAAAGGGTGTCAAGATTCCCTGGATCTGAGTTACAGACAGTTGTTAGCTGCCATGTGGCTGTTGGGAACTAAACCCAGGTCCTCTGCAAGAGTAGCCAGTGCTCTTAACTCCTGTGCCATCTCCAGCTCCTATTCATTTATTTTTGACATAGCATGTAGTCTAGTCTGGCTTCAAACTCAGTATGTAGCTCATGCTGGCCTTGAACTCCTGATCCTCCTACCGCTGCCTCCTGAGTGCTGAGACTGCAGACCATGTGCCACCATGCCCAGTTTATGTGGTGTTGAGAATTGAACCTAGGACTTCATGCATGTCAGGCAAGCACTCTACCATTTGAACTACATTCTTAGGCCACCCTCCCTTTTTTAAAAAAGGAATGTCCTGGGCTGGAGATATGGCTCAGCGGTTAAGAGTACTAGTTGTTCTTGCAGAAGACCCAGGTTCGAATCCCAGCACCCACATGGCAGCTAACAACTGTAACTCCAGTCCCATGGGATCTGACAGTCTCTTCTGACCTCCATGGGTATTGCATGACGGGCATTGCATGACACGGGTGCACTTACCTACATGCAGGGAATACACACATACACATAAAATTTTAAAAAAATTTTTTACTGAATTTTTGTGCATTTCATGCAGAACATCTTAATCATCTTTATACCCCCTACCTCCCATACCCACCCCCACTGGAATGCATACATTCTGTCATTTGTGTTAAGGCCGATCATGTCAAGTTAGTAACCCCAGATGTTCCTCAGTGCAAGTTCGTCCACTGAGATCTAGTCAGCCTATTTAGACTCCTTCTCTTTAAAAAGATCATCTCTTCCTCACCCAGCAGTAATCAGTTGCCAGTAATTCTTCGACAAAGATTGGGACCTGCTGTCTATTTCCATAGTTCTGTGCTGGGTTTCTGTCTGCTTGAATTTGCATGGATCTTGTGCATGCTGACACCATTGCTGTAGGTTCATATGAGAAGGGTTCCAGGAGCCTGTAGGACTATTTGCATGTGGTCATGCACTTCCTCCTTGGCTTTACAATCTTTCTGCCCCCTCTTCCGCAATGGTTCCTGAACCCCAAGTGGGTGAATTTTAATATAGGAGTACCGTCCAAGGACCCATATTCAATAGGCTCTTATTCTCTATATTTTGGTCATTTGTGACCTTTTGTGGTCCTGGCCCTCTGTTGGATGAGGACGCTTCATTGATGAGAATGGAAATATGCATTAGTGTTTTCTTCATTCCTTGTTCTATGTTCTCTGAGTCTTAAGTATAGAGTTTGCATTGCAGATGTGCCATGGGCAGTTCGGTGACAGTCTCTGTGTGTGGCCCATCATGGAACTCTAATAATTGCTGTCTGTTGAAAAAGAAGCTTCTTTGATGGGTGGTGACTGGGATACTTGTCTGTAAATTTAAGGATCCATACTTTGCACTCAGACTCTTGATCTTTGCCCCATTGTGTCTGACTGACCTTTTTATTTTTCCTTTCTTTTTATTATTATTTTGGTTTTTTGAAACAGAGACTCACTATATAGCCCTAGCTGGCTAGGAACTCACTGTGTAGACCAGGCTAACCTGGCACTTACAGAGATCTGCCTGCCCTCTGCCTCTCTAAACACTTCTTTAGAAATAGCTTCAAAAAGAATTGTCTCAAAAAGACCAAAAACTAAAATAAAAAATAAAATAATAAAATTTAAAAATTAAATTATGTGATTTTTACTTTGATTTCATCAATTTCAAAAACATGCCACATACATTAGTTAGCTACATATGCATATAGTCTTACTGCTGTAGAATAACTCCCCACATTCAGGAACCATCTGTTTAACTTTTACAGAAGGATAGTAATAGTCCAGTGATGGAGCCTCTCTTGCTGTGTAGATAAGGTCCAAGGTTTTTTTTTTTTTTTGGTCTTTTTGAGACACAGTCTCCCTGTAGCTCCAGTTGTCCTGGAACTCACTATGTAGACCAGGCTGGCCTTGAACTCAGAGATCTGCATGCCTCTGCTTCCCAAGTGCTAGGATTAAAGGCGTGTGCCACTACGCCTGGCTTAGTTTTTAATTTCCAATTAAGCAACAATTTTAATGAAGGGAAAACACAAAAATTTACCTGGAAATCAACTTATTGTATCGTCTTTCATAAGCTGCACTGATAGCCAATGATACCACAAAGGAACAATCTGATACTATTGTCTGTTAATAAGAATAATACATTAAGCCGGGAGTGGTGGCACATGCCTTTAATCCGAGCACTCCGGAGGCAGAGGCAGGCAGATCTCTGTGAGTTCAAGGCCAGCCTGGTCGACATAGTGAGTTCCAGGTCAACTGGGGTTACAGGGAGACCGTGTCTCAAAAAAACCAAAAAAAAAAAAAAAAAGAATACATTAGTACATTCTTTAATTCATATAATTTCAACATTCAAAAAATTTATTACTTTTATTTTATGTGTATGAGTGTTTTGCCTTGATATATGTAAATACACCATGTGAATACAATGCCCACAAAGACCAGAAGAAAGTGTTGTATCCCCTGGAACTGGCATTACGGACAGTTGTTAGCTGCCATGTGGGTGCTGGGAACTGAACCTGGGTCCTCTGGAAGAGCAAGTGTTCTTAAGCGCTGAGCCAACTCTCCAGCCCCCATATAATTTCAACATTTGCACAACATTTATGCATTGTACCTACTACTTGAGCTTTTATGTTTAATATTTTCTCAATTTTTGTTCCAATAGGAAAATAGAAATGTTATTCTGTTAACTCACACATTCAAACAAATTCTAGAAAAAATAGAGTATTTCAATGAAGTTAGTTGAGAATCACTTGTGTTTTCTTGTACATGGATTTCAATATGTGTATGGTGTATACCTATTAGGGTATGTGGAGTACATGATGTAGGTGCACATGCATGTGGAGGTCAACATTGGATATCTTTCTTCAATCACTCTCAACCTTTGACTTTTTGAGACATGGTCTTTCATTGAACCTGAACTGAATGAAGCTCACAGATCTGGGTAGTGAGCTTCAGAGATCATCTACCTGTCTCTGTCCTTCCATTTCTGTGGTCACAGGAGTGTGCTTCTGTCACACTGTTTTTGTTTTTCTTTATGGGGATCTTGGGGATGTGAACTCGGGTTCCCATGCTTATGTAGATAGCACTTTACTGACTAAGCCCCCAATAATGGATATTATCTATTTATTTATTTATTATTTATTTTTATTTTATGTGTATGTGTGCATTGCCTGCATGTTGGTAAGTGCACCTGTGTCATGCAATGCCCACACTGGTCAGAAGAGGCTGTCAGATCCCCTGGGACTGAAGTTACAGACAGATGTTAGCTGCCATGTGGGTGCTGGGATTTGAACCCAGGTCTTCTGAAAGAAAAACCAGTGTTCTTAACCGCTGAGCCATCTCTCCAGCCCCATAATTAGATACTTAAATAATTATCTTTTGTACTTATTTTCTTGTCAAAAGTGAAATTCAGTTCTCGTTTCTTAGCTACAAAAACAGAAATCTGTAACTGGGACTAGGGCTGTAACTTAGTGGAAGTGACTGCCTCGCATGCATGAGGCCCTATGTTCAATTCCTACCTAGTATTTAAAAGAAAATCTATGATTGCTCAAAAGTTTCTCATACAGTTTTCTCAATGTTAAAAATGTATAGAGTGAACTGGGCATGGTGGCCCACACCTGAAATCCTAGTTACTTAGGAGGCTGATGCAAGAAGATCTTGAGCTCAAGGCCAGCTTGGGCAACATAGCAAGATATCATCTCAGAAGGAAAAAAAAAAATTTGTTTTGGAGAAAGAATCTTGCTTTGTAGTCCAGGCTGGCCTCAAACTCTATGTAGCCCACACAGGCCTTCCACCTGGAGTGCTGAAATTCCAAGTATGTGCTACCAAATTGAGCTGAAAACAATTTTTTTAAATGTTTAGAACGAATAATTTTTGTAATTATACTCATGCATCTGAATATATACAATCTAAGGAAAAAAAATCAAACCTGTATGTAAATATTTACCTGTTTTATACTAAAACTGGATACAGTGTATATCATTGTAGGATTGTTGATGAGGTCTTCTGGCCGTACCCATTTGCAAAACACAGTTTTTTGTTTAGGCGATAATGGCAGCTTGCCCCATCTATCGCTGAGGAAACAATGCAAATTACAAAAATAGATCAGTTTTAGACGATAACTTGAAGCCAGAATGAAACTTTCTTTTTGACATAGAGATCATACACCTATACTTTTGTCTTCCCAAAGTAACTCTGGTAAAATCTGTCTATTTACATTTGAACTTGAATCCAATCAACCCGAGTATCCTCCCCAATTAAAGGCAGAAGAGAGCATAAATTCATTTTTATTTACTTTAAAAGTATAGTTGAAAAGTTTAACTTTAGCATAAAGCACGGATTCATTTTAACAACTATAATATTAATATCTTTTGCATAAATATTTGAGTAAATCTCTAAACACTTCTTTAGAATTAGTTTCCTGAAGTGAAATCATCAGAAGTATAATTCTTTTGACATATACAACCAAATTGTGATCTATAATTTTAGTCTTTAATAAAATGAGTACTATTCTAGCGCTCTTCCCTTGTTAAACAGGGCTGCTAAATAACAAGCTCCATTCTAACAGCTTCTTAGTTCACTAACTCATCAAATCACCACAGTTACACCATGGAATGGACATGCTCTATTACTTGCCTCATTTTATACAGTTGATGAAATAGAGAAAGACTTAACTCATCCAGCAGCACACAGAATCTCAAACTGAAGTCTGCCTATTAGGGTCTGGAGAGATGGTTCAGCAGTTGAAAGTACACAAAGCTCTCACAGAAGATATGAGTTCAGTTCCCAGCACCCACATTGAGTGGCTCACAACTACCTGTAACTCCAGCTCGAGGGAAGCTGACTCTCTGTTCTGGCCTTGGCAGGCACTATACTCACATGTAGTGATTCACACACACACACACATAATTAAACATAAAAATACCATCTTAAAAGTTTGCCTATTAAATCTATGCACCTAACATCAAAGTCATAAAACTTTTAAATTCCTTAGAACCCTATCCGTTACTAGAACCACCGAAATGGCTGCCTAAGTGAAAAAAAGGGGTTGATAATTTAGTGGCTTTCTGACACTTAATTCTGGGCCATTTAAGAAAAGCAGAACATTGGAAAATGAAAAGCAATTTTCTTATTCTTTATGGAGCTTTTCATTGTATAGAACATTCAAACTTTTCCTGATAATAAATATCACCTGCTCACTGAAGATATTTTGAAAAAACAAACTTAAACCATATAGTTTTGCTGTCTAAAGTTAATCACTGTGGGCATTTAACCGTATTTCTTTTTCCATGCATTTATAATTAAAAATTAATTTGAATGTTACATGCACAATTTCATATTGCGTTGTTTCTATATTATGAGTATCTTTCCTACTTTTAAAAGACTTACTTTGAGAAACAGCATTTGATTGTATGGATGTCCCATGACTGAATCATTCTCAAACCCCTGGATATTTAGTTCTGAAATCTTTACCATAACAGAAACTTGGATAAATGATCTTACTACATACATTTTGTTTTTTTTTGGGGGGGTGGGGGTGGTTAAGAAAGGTCCTCCCTGTATCTCCAGCTGGTCTGCAACTAGCTGTGTAGACCAGGCTGGCCTTGAACTCACAGAGATCTGACTGCCTCAGCCTTCCAAGGGCCTGGCACTATATACAAATTTGCATACTGATTTCCTTAGGATAACTAGAAATTATGAGTCCTAAATCAAACAATATTTTTAAGCCTCTGCCACTGTCCTAGCACTTTTTTTTTTTTTTTTTTGGTTTTTTTGGTCTTTTTGGTTTTTTTGGGATCCTTGTAGCCCCAGCTGGCCTGGAACTCACTCTGCAGACCAGGCTGGCCTCAAACTCACAGAGATCTGCCTGCCTCTGCCTCTGGACTGCTGGGATTAAAGGTGTGCACCACCATGCCTGCTAATAACACTTTCTTTAACTGGATCTTAGTAAGGAAAGATGTTGACATTTTATCACACTTTTCTATTGCTTTCTGGCTTGTAGTTCTATTGTGATCCAGTCAGGAATTGAACAAATGTTTACACAGTACTTACTCTGTGCCAGGTGTTATACTAAGCACTATGACTGGGCCAAAAGCTCCATAGGAGCCCACAACTAGGCAAATTAAAACAAATGTGCAACTGCTACATTCCGGTGCTATATTACATAGACAGCTTCGTATTCACATCTTTATCAGGATAATTTTTCCTCCTCTGTCCCATACATACTCCTTTCTTCAACCAGTTTGTATATAAAATTTAACTTCAGGGCTGGAGAGATGGGTCAACAGTTAAGAACACTGGTTGTTCTTGCAGAAGACCCGGGTTCGAATCCCAGAACCCACACTGCAGCTAACAACTGTCGGTAACTCCAGGCCCAGGGGATCCGACAGCCTCCTCTGACCTCTGCGGGCACTGCACGACACGGGTGCACTTACCTACATGCAGGCAATACACGAATACACATAAAATAAAAAAATTTAAAAAATTAATTTCAAGCTGTGAATTCAATTGAATTTCAGAGTTTGGGAAAATTTTTAAATGATCTTGAAAGTAAAATTACTACAGTGCTTACTTAACAAAAAGGCATTGGATAACCAAAACGTTCCCTCAGATCAACACTCATGAAAGGAACATATTCTATACCATTTTTCTTTCCTTCCTTCCTTCCTTCCTTCCTTCCTTCCTTCTTCCTTCCTTCCTTCCTTCCTTCCTTCCTTCCTTTCTTTCTTTTTTCATCTTTTTGAGACAGGGTCGCCCTGTAGCCCCAGCTGACCTGGAACTCGCTATCTAGACCAGGCTGGCCTCCAACTCACAGAGATCTGCCTGCCTCTGCCTCCGGAGAGCTGGGATTAAAGGTGCGCACCACCATACCCGGCCTATACCATTTATTTTAGAATCCAAATTTTCAAGTCTATCTTAATCACTAATCCTCAACGCTAAAATGTAAATGACAGTAACTTCTCCATCTTTTGGTTGGTATCAAAGGTAAAATTCAAATGACAAAGTATGGTGCTGTATTAAGCGGACAACATCACGTTGCTTGGCTCTTTAGACATTTCTGATAAAACAAATACCAGAAAATAACTGCTGTAATTCAATCCAATTTAATAAGACATTCTTTTAAAATTAACATCCTGGGCTTAGGATGCAGCTCAGTGGCAGAGCGTTTGCCTAGCATGTGCAAAGCCCAAGGTTCAACCCTCAGCACAAAATAATAAATAAATAAATAAAAATTTAAGGTGTGAAAAAATTCAGTGTCATAGGATATGACTCATAAATGTTGACCTAAGTATTGGTTATGATAACAGATGGAAAAGCAGTCACAAAATTACAACAAAACTGTAGTCTTAAGATAGGGCTTTGTGTCCAAAGAAGGATACAAAGCCAATTCTATCCTAAGTCCAAAGGAGCAAATAATTAACTTCGTTATCTGGGGGATTTCAAAAGATGACATACAATTGTTTTCTGGATAGAATGCGGAATGGGTAGTGGAGGAGGAAGTACTACAGGTATCTGCTATGACTTGTTGACAAATTCAAGAAGTGAGGTTAGTAGTGGCTTTGCCTGTTTTATGTACATTAACAATTTCCTTTAATTTTTTTCTTTTATTCAGACAGAGCTTCACTATGTAGCACAGAGTATCCGGCTGGTGACAAACTCAAAATCTCTTATCAGCTTCCTGAGTGCTGGAATTGTGGGCGTACTCTGCCATGCTTTATAGCTATTTTGTACTCATACGTCACTTTTTTTTTTTTAAATTGAGAGTAGTCCCGGAGCAACTTCATAATCTAGTATTTTGGTACTAATAATCAGTGAATTTGAAGATGAATGCAGGCACAGTGGACACAGTGACTGTTGGGATGTGTACCCTCATTTTCACTTGAAGGACAGATGCATTCTGAGGGTAGAAATACAGAGATGCTTTGTTAAGAGCACAGAATTTCAAATGTTATACAGAAGGCAATATACAAATACCAGGCAGTAAAAATGATAATTTCTCATTAATTTAGTGTGCCTCAGCTTTAAAATGACCCTTTTCTTGTTCTGCTTTGTACTGTGTTTGTTCACAGGCAGTTTTTCCTAGGCAAAGGGAACCAAGCTAATAGGAGCAGAATTAAAATCTGCAGCAGGAAAGAAAGGCGCTAGGAGGAAGTCCTTTCAGCCCAATTTCAGGAAAATTAAAAACAAACACCTACATGACTTCTCAAACTCAAGAACAGTCACCTCCTAGTGAGATTTATCCTCTCTCAACTGATTCAGAAGACAACCAAGGACTTCTACATTCTTGTGGGTTTGTTACTGTTGTTTTTTGAGGCAGGGTCTCACTATATAGCCCAGACTAGTCTTGATACTGAACTTGTGATCCTCCTACCTCGAGTGGTGGGATGACAGGCATGTGCCATGTCCAGCTTATGTTTTGCATTTTTCTTTTTTTTTGGTCTTTTTGAGACAGGATCTCCGTGTAGCCCCAGCTATCCTGGAACTCACTATGTAGACCAGGCTGGCCTTGAACTCACAGAGATTGCCTGTCTCTGCCTCCCGAGTGCTGGGATTAAAGGCGTGTGCCACCATGCATTTTTAATATCCCCTGAGGCTGCTTTCAGATACTCTAAGCTATCTATATAGACCAGGGGTCTGAGAACATTTTCTATAAAGATCCAGGTGATAGTTTAGGTTTCACAATGAGGTCTCTGTCACACATTCAGTTTTCATTTTCTTTCTTTTTTTTTTAAAAAAAAACCTCTTATAAAGAGAAAAACTATTCATAGCTCCAGACTTTTGTTTGCTGGCTATTTCAAAGTCTTTCCCCAGTGAGGCTGTGGTCTCAAAGGTACACAGAGTACTAACAGTTTGCCTTCATTCTGTTGTGCTCCTTTATCTTCAGGGCTCAAACCTGGAGAATTCCAAGATTACAAGAAAAACCCATCTAGAAAAAAATGTTAATACTAAAATATATTGGAACCAACAGATTTTATTCTTCAAGCTGTAATTATATAATTCAGTCAAATATTAGCACAACATATTACCACAAAGTTCTGAACACAATTCAGAATGAAATAACCTGCACTGGTTATTGTTAGGGTTCCAATAGCAGCCCCCCTCTCCCCAACAGGGACCTACAGACTTTGGAGCCTGGAAAAGGGAACTTAGCTGATAAGCACCTTGACCTTTGAGGTCAAGAAGGACAAACTCTGCTGAGAAGCAGCCTGCCTTTCCTCTGACCTCCAAAGATAAGATAAGCAGAGTTCCTCTTATCTTAAGAGGAAAAAGAAGACACTTCCACACCCTAATCCTACCTGCTTCCCCCTCCCTGATTTCTCCCCCAAACATTCCCCCCTTCCATACCCTAAAACCCCCATATGTAAAGTCCCAGCTCACAACCCATGAGCTGACATCTTTCCCTTCCCGAGGGAAAGGTGCCCCGTGCAAAATAAATCTGTGTCCCACTGAGAATTCCATCTGTGCCTCGGTGCCTTCATCCATCCGCTCATGCTCTCCATCCACGCTGCTCGCTCCCACCCATTCTCTACCTATCAGTTATGTTCAAACATTTTCATTGCAGTGAATCATAAGGATTTACCTGAGCACTTCTATTTCTTCTGCTGTGTATCTCTGTCCTTGCACATCACATGACTGTGGATTTATAAATGCCTGAGGCTCCTCAAGGAAGGAATCAGGTCCTAGAGGAAAATGTGTTCTCACAGGAGGAGTGTCCGTTTTAATATTTGTTGACTTGACTTTGCAAAATGGCTTTGTCTAGGGCTCACTCAATGCTTCTGCTCTAAAACAGAAGCACAGAAAAACTCTAGTTTTTCTTCTTATATTTAGGCTTTTTTGTTTGTTTTCGAGACAGGATCTCACGCACAGGCTGGCCTCAAACTTGCTATATAGTGCCAAGTCTGGCCTTGAATTCCTGATCCTCCTGCCTCCACCTCCCAAGTATTTTATGTAAGTTTATAGGAAACAAAATTACTTTAAGAGTTAATCAAGGGGCTGGAGAGATAGCTCAGGGGTTAAGAGTACTGGCTGCTCTTGCAGAGGACTTTGAATCCAAGCATGCACATGGTAGCTAACAACCTCCTGTAACTCCAGTTTCGGGGGGTTTGATGCCCTCTTCTGGCTTCCCAGACATTGTACAACACTTGCATGCATGCAGGCAATACAGACATACACATAGAATAAAAATAAAATTTAAAAGGTTTTTTTTAAAAGTTCATCACCTGGGCGTGGTGGCACACGCCTTTAGTCCCAGCACTAAGAAAGCAGAGGCAGGAGGGTCTCTCTTAGTTCAAGGCCAGCCTAATCTACAGAGCAAGTTCCAGGCAACCTGGGGCCCCAGCTCCTGTCTCAAAAAGATCAAAAAAAAAAAAAAAAAATGGCTCAGGAAGTTCATCAAGCACTCTACTGGAAAACCAGTTCAAGTTCATAAACTCCTTACATACAGTCAAGATTTCTCTATGTATGCTAATCCCAAGGGTAGGGTTAATATTTCTGCAAATAATATTCTAAACGAACATTTATGGTATGTTAGAAATCATGCAAGGTAAGGGGCATATAATGATGCATAAGCCTACCTTAAGGTTTTGTAGGGAAACATACCATGGCACCAAAATGACTGATGCCAAGATGAAAGTATTTCAGGCAAATGAATGCAGAAAAGGAATGACGTCCCTAATGATAAGGAAGAGAGGATGGGTCCAGGGAAGGCTGGTCAGACCTACTGCTTGGGTCACAGAGGTTCATCTGCAGCATGGCGAAGCACACACAGAATGAGCAGAAGGATCAAACAGCGAAGGGAGCTGAGGTCACTTCAAAAGATGTGAAAGTACAGATGAGAAGCAGCAGGAGATGAGATGACAAGAAGGCAGGATTCAGTCACAGAAGCCTTGTAGATATTTGAGGGAATTTCGACTGTTCTGTTGAAGAACCAATAAGCTAAAAAGAGAAGCTCTTAACACAAGTTCCACATGAGTTCCAGCGGTCTTGTAACACTTTGAAATTATATACCAAAAAACCTTTGTGTATATTTGCCTACAAAGAAAATCCTTAATCTTCAACAGATCCTGAAAGGAGCCCATAACTGCTACCCCACCCTGCCCACCTTTGCTTAGGATGGACTCAGGAATACTGCATAGATTACTTACACAAATAATAAAAATCAGCCAGGATTCTAACTAGAAGAAATCAGGATGGAGAAGACAACTATGTCAGGTGAAGGTGGTAATCACTACACTCCAGAAACTGGAGAAAGCAACTATGTGTTGAGTGTTTTACCTTCATTAATTTGAGTACAGAAAATGTTAGTTGATGATGCAAAGGAAGAATGAGCCAGCCATACCTCAATAAAAAACAGCTGGGGAGGGGTGGAGACATCTAGATGGAGCTTCAATAGAAGGTAATTAAAAATTAAAACTTCAAGCTCTAGGAATAAATGTAATTTCTACCCCTTTCCTTTATCTACAACACTCTTTCAAGAGTCATAATTCTCTCAGGCAAATTCACTCTTTCAACAAATACCTACTCAACACATGTATATTGGGCACCCTGCTAGGTACTTAATTAAGAACTCAATAAAATGGGCAAAATGCTGTCTTCATAAGCTTACATTTAGGGGATGAAGGCTGGATGCAACGTAGACATCAACAGCAAATAAACTGGTTTTTCCTACACCTTACAAAGGAGTAAGAGCAATGAAAAAGAAAATTTAAATAAATATAATCAAAGAGGTAGGGGAGACTTGATGCTTAGGGAAGGCCTTGGAAAAGTGACACAAGCTTGAGATGAAGGTCACACATCTGATGTGATTTGGGAATGCATGTGCATTCTCAATGTCTATTTTTTTTTTTTTTTTTTTGGTTTTTTTGAGAAAGGGTCTTCCTGTAGCCCCAGCTGTCCTGGAGCTCACTATGTAGACCAAGCTGGGCTTGAACTCACAGAGATCCACCTGCCTCTGCCTTGAGAGTGCTGGGATTAAAGGCGTGCGCCACCACACCCGGCTCAATGTCAATTTTTTATAGTCACTCTGGAGGTCTTTCTGAAAGATTTCCTTTGGAAGTATAATATTACACAGCATAAAGGAGGTCGCCCATTTCAAATACCACAGTCGGGGGCTGCAAATATAGCTTAGTGCTTGAATGTTTGATTAATATGCACAAAACCTTGGGTTCGGGGCTGGAGAGATGGCTCAGCGGTTAAGAGCACTGACTGCTCTTGCAGAGGACCCAGATTCAATTCCCAGCACCCACATGGTGGCTATGAACTGTCCTTAACTCCAGTTCCAGGGGAAACCCAAGCCCTCTCCTGACCTCCGTAGCATTGCATGACATGGGTGTGCTCACATACATGCAGGCAATAGACTCATACACAAAAAATAAAAATAACAAATATTTTTTTAAAAAACAAAAAAAACCTTGGGCTCAAGCCCCAAGACCCCTCCCCACACCCCATCACAGTAATATCACGGTTATAAAACAAATCAAGTATCGGGGTTGTTTCCTCTATATATAGCAAACACTAAAAATACTTCTTGAATGCTAGATGGGCTATTTCTTCAGTTCAAAGCAAGGAACTACAGAGGAAGTAAATTTACTCAGGCAGAGAGGTAGATTTCTAAATCTCAGCTTAACAAGGAATTTTTGGACCTCTACCACACATTAAGATAAATCTGTTACATAAAAAACAACATAATTCATGCTATCCACTGTTAAGAATTTGAGTGACAAAACTCAACTATCTAGCACCTGTTGGGCCAAGTGTTTCAATTTATTTTGCAGAGTCTCATTAGCAGTTTCATAAGACTTAAGAGAAAGAGACAGACATTCTAAAGCATAATTCTTTATTTAATCTATATTTGTATACAAAAATTACAACATACATTTCACTTCTTGAAACTATGAGTAAATAAAGACATTTTATTTTTGTCGTTAAAGGTTATCATTTAAAGAACATGTTGAGTATTTTTCACTGGGGTGAACCTTAGACAAGTGCTAATCAGACCATAAATGCACAAACACGGTAGCATGGTAGGGTAAACGGCAGGAACCTGAGGAGACCAGCACTTACATGTGTTCTTAGGGATAAAGAGAAATCAGGGTAGATGGTTTTTCTGAACCTAATACCCTGCCCAAAGTTGGCATGAGAAAGATAACCTCTGTGCCTCATCTTCCTGTCAAATGCACTGCTCCTAAGTACTAGATGCTCTGAGAAGCTAAGAGTGTCAGCTAGAAGGTCTCATCAGGGAGCAGTAAGCCACACAGCACACGGGTTTTACATTGCAAGCTAATAAAGGTCTCCCAAACAATTACCTTATTTTTTTACTATATGACATTAAAAAAAAAGTTTACACTAAACTCATAGATTTGTGATGATGAATTCTTTCAACAGTAATTTCAGTTATTAAAGTATACACAGTTGGGGCTGGAGAGATGTCTCAGCAGACGACCCAGGTTCAGTTCCCAGCACCCACTTGCCGACAGACAATTGCTCCAGTTCCAGGGGATCCAATGCCTCTTCTGGCCTCTGGAGGGCAATGCATGTATGTGGTACACTTACATACTGTCCTGAGGTGGATTTGGATCAGTCCTGAGGGTCAGAACTGTCCAATATTGCTCGTCGGGAGAGCCAGGACAGGCACATACGGACAGAAGAGATTCCACACGAGTGAGAGGTTGCAAGTACAATATATTTCACACAACAAGCCCAAAATACATTCACAAACAACACAAACACTCAAGGGGAGAAGCAGGAGGAACTGAACCAATGTTCAGAGCTCCTAGATCTTAGGGAGTACCTCAGGGCCAGAGACCAACGTCCCAGTCCTTAGGTGAGAGCATAAAGGAACTGAGAACTAGGACTGCTATGTTGCTGCTAGAATTAGAATTATAAAATGGTGTGGTCACTAGAACCTGAATGTTCACCGCATCGTTCACAATAGACAAAAGGTGGAGAAAACCCAAATACCTACCAGCCGATGAATGAGTAAACCCAATGTGGTGTATGAATACAATGGACTATCATTCAGTCACAAAAAGAGTAGAGTACTAGTACAACCTAACATGAACAAGCCTTACAAACATTACACCAGGGGAAAAGAAGCCAACGACAACAGGACCGGATGGTTCATTCACATGAAATACCCAGAACCAGATTTCATTCACATGAAATACCCAGAACCAGAAACCTAGAGTCAGAAAGTCAGATAACCAGTTGCTCAGGGGCAGGGTCTGGAGGAATGGGGAGCAGCAACTGCTAAAAGTAAGGAGGGTTTGGGGTTTTTTTGAGTGGTAAAATGTTCTCAAATCAAACAGTGGTGATGGACACACAATTCTAAGAATGCACTTTTAAAAAACGTGGATTATACACTTTAGAAACGTGAACTCCACATATGTGAATTACATCTCAAAGCCTGTTATTTTAAATAAGTAGACATTCTGTTAATTTCTTAAGGTATATGCTAAATTTTAACCATTTTTAACTACCTCTTTTGACTAATCCCATTCATAAAACGAAGGCCTAAAGCTCAAACATATTAAACTATAAGGGTTTCTTGGCTTTGTATTGACATTGGGGCTGGATAATCCTTTGCTGTGGAGGAATGTCCTGTATTTTATAGAATTTATGGCAATACCCAAGGCCTTTGATCAATTGGATTCCAGGAGCATACGTCCCCTCTACCCAGGAGTGTGAAAATCAAAACCCTTTCCAGACATTTCTCAACTGTCTGTCCACTGGGGGTGGGGTAAAGCTACTTCCCATTGAAAACTAATTTAATCTAAGGCTTCATGGCTACAAGTAGAAGGGTAGAGTATCAACTTAGATCTTTTAATTCCAAGTCCTTAAAATTTTTTTTGACATCCTATTCATTTTGGAAAGAGGGGTTCATGTGTTATGGCACTCATACAGAGGCCACAGGACAACTAGCAGGAGCTGGTTCTCTCCTTCTACCATGTAAGTTTTGGAGATTAAACTCAGACCCTCAGGCTTAGCAATTAGTGTCCTTCCCCGCTAAGCAATCTTACCAGTCCTGATTCCAAGTCTTGATCTCTTTATTACATTGGTCAATTTCAAATTGTTACTTTCCCCCCATTTAGAAGTCAATGTATTCCTCAAGAATTTATAAACAGGCTGTTGTGAAAAACTGAGGTTCTATTTTCTTTTTCTTTTCATTTTTTTTGAGACAGGGTCTCATGTAGCTCAGGCTGGCCTCAAATTCTCTAGGTAGCCAAATATGATCTTGAACTTCTAATCCACCTCCACCATGCTAGGATTACAGGTATGTGCCACCACATACAGTTTATGTGATGTAGGGATCAAGCCTAGGTCGTCACATCTGGGGCAGGCACTCTACCAACTAAGCTACATCTTCAGTCTTAATTTTTATTATTTACTTATTGGACTTTTGTGATAGAGTCCCACTATATAGCCTAAATTGGCCTTAAATTTATAATACTCCTGTAAATAGCTGGGATTATAGGCATACTTTACCACAGCTGGCTAAAACTGGGGTTCTGAACAAGATTTTCTTTTTATTTGAAAAAGGCTTTTTTATGCTTAATACAGAAACTCCTGAATTCTGTACAAATTACACACACATCTATTGAATAAACGAGGCAAAATATTGGTGAAATAAGTAAGGTATCATCTGCTTTAAAAATCTTTTCCAATTCCCATCTCATTGGCAAGTCTACCTAAGAGATTACTGCTCTCCTGTACCTGATAATCAGATTCATGAGAGTAAGTTTTAGAATTTACTTCCCTGAGTAAAATGCAATTTGTTTTTGTTTTTACTGTGGTCTCAAACTTACAGACTCAAGTGATCTTTCTGCCTTAGCCTACTGAGTACTAGGACTATAGGCAAATATCACCACACCAATTCAAAGGTAATTTTTATTATTTATTTTTATTTTATTTTATTTTATTTTTTGTCTTTTTGAGATACAACATGTATACACAGACCCCCCCATGCCATGGCACATGTGT